CCAGATCCACTACCATGAAGGGCTTTATGGGTGGCAAGTAGCACCTTGAAGCGCACCCGGAGATCAACAGGTAACCAGCGCAGCGCATATATACTATGTCCACTGCATTTGGCTGGTCCACAAAGAATGTTCTTTATTGTCCCCCGTCTTGAAAAGAAACAAGCAACGACTTGGCCGGCCGAAAGGCTCCTTCCTGTGCCAAAGACGCCTGAACTGAGTAGGAATCTGGGAAAGAGGGCGGAACTAGGCCAGACCGGAGCCAGGTGGTGGCGTCTCCGTGGATGTTTCAAGGTTGTCTTCTGTCTCCTCTTGAGAACTCAGCCCTTCCTTTAGGTTTGCATTAGGCTGGCCAGGTAGCACCTGCAGATCCTGAACTATTGGGGCCTGTGGGGCCTCCGTGGCTGGGGGTTGTCCGTCCTGCAAGAAAGAGGTGGAACTCTCCGGGCTGGCGTTTGGCGCTTCAGGTAAGCCCTCAGTCTGGCTGCTTTCTGAACTAAAATCCACTTGGCTCCCCTTTGACACCTTCTCCGGACGGAGGTTTCCGTCTTCCGCAGCACCTCTCGGGTGGTGGACCTTGCCCATCTCCTGAGGCCTGGTCTGCAGCGGCCTAGGGAGCCAGGGGTCCGGCAGAGGCGTTCTGTTCTCTATTCCGGGGGGGAGAACGGCCTGACTTGAAGCTGGACCCTGGGTGGCAAAGGGATTTTTGTGCTGTTGTTCCATCGCGCTCCAGATGGGCTCCTCCATCTCCTTATACATGCGTTGCAAGATGTTGTAGCCTCCTGGGAAACTTTCAATGTTGCTCAGGATCCGATCACAATGTCTGTCCATTTCCTGCTTGACTTCTGGCTTTCGGATGTACCTGATTATTTCCCCCACGACCTTCGGGTTGCTCAGCAGGTGGCCGATGCTGACATTTTCTTTAGCCAGTTGGATTAAGGAAGGGCTGCTTTCTATCGTCTGCCTCAGCATCCTTTCCTCCAGTTCATCCTGAACCTCTGGACCGGAGAGGACCTGGCGGATGTCCACAAACAACTGGCGGAAGGACTGCAGATCATCCAGCATGTCCGCTTCAAGGCTGATGTCCGGCGTGACAGTGCCCGCCAGTCGTGGAAGCTTCTTATAGGTGACCATCATCTTAGTTAAGCCGCTGAGGCTCAACAGCCGGCCAAACTGTGGCGTCTCTTGAGCAAATGCTTTCATCTCCGGGTTCTCTGACAAGAACTGGGCCAACTCCTGTGTGTTGGTGAGGATGTTCTGGATGAAAGGTTTCTCCAGGACCTCGGCCACCACCCTGCCACTGAGCTCCCTCTCTTTCTCGTCTCTGGACTGCATCACTCTCAGGCTGACCAGGCTGGAGACTCCCAGGACGAAGGCGACCGTTAGAGGGTTTCCCTCCTTGGAGAGCAGACTCTGGACGGTGGAGTTCTGCACCACCTGGGACATGAGCTCCGGATGATGCTGGAAGTGCTGAGGCAGCTCACTCAAAATGTCCAGCAGGGTCAGGAGGTCCCTCCGGATGCTTCTCAGCAGCGGCTGGAAGTTCAGCCCTCCAGAAGACGCCGAGGCACCGACAGCCGCATGGGGAGCACTGCAGCCTGGAGCGGGGGAGGCTGTTTGCAGGGCATGGTTGCCTCTGAGTTCTGGCCTTTCCACCACCACATGCACCGTGTCCCCATTTTGGATGCCATGCTGAAGAAAAGTTTCCTGGTCTTTCAATATTTTCCCCTCAAATATCACAAGCATCTGCTCTTTGCTGACCAAGAAACGGCGTCGGGCCTCCTCCTTCAGCTCCGCAATGCTGCTCTTCCCATCCAGCAGGCAGTCCTGCGTCTTCCCTGAGCTTTTCAAAGTCACCCTGATGAGTTTGGGCTCACTGGTGGTCTCCACGGGGCCGGCACTGGGGTCGCTGCTCATGGCTGGGGGGCCACCACCGGTCCATTCCTAGCAAAAGGGCAGGCCAGGTCAGGGGGTCCCGGGGAGGCTCCCAGATGCTTTGCCCTGCCTTCCGAGAGCCCCGGGCCCCTTCAGCAGGCATGCCTTCCCCCGGCCTCACTCCCACTCCAGCCTCCAGCTCTTTTCTTTCCCCCAGGGATCTTCACCCTGCTCCCCCAAATCCACTGTGGCATCACGGCCATGACATCACAGTCCTGAAATGACAGCGGTTCCTGGGTCTCCCAGCTGGGCCTTTCAAAGCCCCCCTCTGCCCCCAGGGCCTTGAAGGGCAGCAGCCCCAGCGGCTCCTGAGGCTCCTTTGAGGAAGTGAGGGAGAAGAGGGTCCCGGAGGGGAACAAAGGAAGCGCCCCCTCGCTTGGCCCCCACGGGGATCCCCTGTGCGCCCACAAAGGATGCTGCTGCTGCTGTTCCCATTGTGTTCTGCTTGGTTGCAAAGGACCCCTTTGCAACCAGAGGTTTAAGCCAGGGGTTCCTTGGCAACGCTAAGACTGGTGGACTTCAGCTCCCAGAATCCCCCAGCCAGCAAGGCCGCAACTCCAGAAGTGGACAAATTTGGGGCCTCCCGATTTAGGTCCCCACCCGTGATGAGGGTTTTTCTCAGCCCACTTGCTGCAATGCTGGCACTGCTTGGAGAACCATTTAGGCCTCCTGCTTGAGCAGAGGGGAGGCTGGGCTAGAAGACCCCCAAGGTCCTTCCAACTCTGTTATTCTGATTGGGGTGGAGAAGGAGTGACTGATCATGAAGTTGCCTTCTGTACTTAGGGGTGCACTGGAACTACTCCCTGCTACCAGCAGACCAAGGAAGGAGACCAGCTGGAAATGGAAGGAAAGGCTCACGGCCATGAAGTTTGGGAGGAAAAGTGGCCAGCATGTAGGACAAACTCTAGCCAGGAGGGTCTCTTCAGGCAGAACAAGCCGCCCTGAGTCTCTCGGGAATAGGGCGGCATACAAATTGAATAAACATCCAACATCCAAGATGATGGCAGTGGGATCATTGAAGAGGCAGAGGAAGTCAACTTCCTTTTATCCGCCGTCTTTACAATCAGAGGAAACAGTGATTTCAGGAGCCTGGAAACAAACAAGGCAGGGGAGTTTGCAGATCTGTGAGGATGTGGTCTCCAAGCCAAGGTCTCCTGGCTAATTGTAATGTCTTCAAGTCCCCAGAAGCCAGGATGAAATGCATCCTAGAATATTGATGGTACTACTGGTAGTAGGAGAGCTGTCAAGTCCTCCCTCAATTGTCTCTGAAGAGTCTTGCAGAATTGGGGAGATTAACTAGAGGACTGGAGAGGGGAGCTACTCCGGTCGCCCTTCTAAAGAAAGAGGGGCTCCTGCCTGGATTAAAAGACCCCCCGACTCTGTTATTCAGTTGCTCTGAAAGGAAAAAGAGGGTTGTGGAAATTGCCAACTTGTGAGCCTTCGGTCATGACCCAGCTCAGGGTTCAGATTCTGAATTATTTATTTAGATAGTTAGAAGATAAAAAGTATCAAATTAAGATAAAGCCATAACGAAGTAATCATAATATAGCATCATAGAGCATCAGGCCTGCAGCTTTCTCTTGGATCTCTGGCCTGCCACACTTTCTGTTCTTCTACTATGCCTTTTTCTATGGTGGGGAAAAGGGAGGGGGGATTGTACGGAGATGCTATGTAGCCATAACAACATTCTTTCTAGAAAGCCAAGGTCATCATTCTTTGTCTCTGCACCTGACCGGAACTGGATGGGTGGAACTGCTAGCGTGGCAGTGGGAGATTGGACCATGGGATGGATTTATGGGTGTGTGTGGGGGGGAGATCTTGAACTTTCAACTGGGTGGGGGAAACCTGGAAGCTTTCAAATTCGGGTTTTCCCAGATGTGCCAACATGGCTCTCTTCATAAATTGGAACTTTTGAGGAATGCTTTGCCTTGGACTCTGATTCACTTTTGGATGCTATTCGGAACCCTGATAAAGAGTCTCAGTGGGATGGATCAGTGGTGGGATTCAAAATTTCTTACTACCAGTTCTGTGGGCGTGGCTTTGTGGGCGTGGCTTTGTGGGCGTGGCAGGGAAAGGCTACTGCAAAATCCCCATTTCCTCCTGATCAGCTGGGACTCGGGAGACAAGGATAGATGTGGGCGGGGCCAGTCAGAGGTGGCATTTACCGGTTCTCCGAACTACTCAAAATTTCCATTTTCCAATAACAATGAAATGACAAGGGATATGGTGAACAATATATATATATGTACTGGCTCAATCAAAGGAATTGGGATACACATAGTAAACAACGACTTGGAAAAGAGGATTAGAAATTTTGTTATCAATCATAATTAATTCTTACTTAGAACATGTTATAAAGGTGTAGTGTTATTGGATGATTTTAGAAATAATTAATGAAATGTCATTATGTGGTTGTGTTTTTTAATTTTGGACTATTTCATGCAAAAGGATGTTAAAACAATTATAGTCAAATGAGAATTGTGGGATTTTGATTGTAAGATATAAAAAGATTTTTGAATTTTTA